TTCCAACAAAAAATCAAAGGATGCCAAACTTGCTCGATTTTTGCAACCTTTGCAATCATCAATATCTTCTAGTTCAATTCAGGTATGCAAGAAGCACTTCTTGAACAAGTTTGTGGAATTTGATGAGGAGATGGAACAGCTAGATGAAGATGAGAAAGAAGAGTATAGACTCCCTTTGGCTGAAGCAGCAAAAACCTTGCAAATAAGCCAAAATGAAAGAATTTTGAAAAAAATAAAATTTAATCTTATTATTATATTTTTAAGACAAAACTATTTGGTTGCAAAAGGTTAATGAATTTTTGCCAACAATTTTGATTCGTCCCCTATAAACACAACTCATAGATTATTTTATTTTATTTTCATTCTTTTAACTTCAATAGTCGGGATTTCATTTCCTTCTCCACCTCTCTGTCTCTCTCGTTCTCTCTCTTTCTCTCTATGTCTCTCTCGCTCATCTCTCTTATCTCTATCTCTCTCTCTGTCTATCTCGTTCATCTCTCTTCTCTCTCTGTCTCTTTTTCTGACTCTCACTCTCTAGCTCTTTCTCTCTTTGTCTCTCTCTCTCTCTCTCTCTCTCTCTCTTTGTCTCTCTTCTTTTTCTCTCTCTCACTCATCACTCTTCTCTATCTGTCTGTCTTTGTCTCTTTTTCTCTTTGTCTTTCGCTCATCTCTCTTCGCTCTATCTCTCTCATATCTTTTCTTTCTCTATCTCTCTTATTCATCTATCTTCTTTCTATCTCACTCTCTGTCTTTTTTACTCATCTTTCTTCTCTCTTTACCTCTTTCTTTTTCTATGTATTTCTCTCGATCATCTCTTTTCGCTCTCTTTCTCTCTCTTTGTTTATCTCTTATTCATCTCTTGTTTCTCTCTGTCTCTTTCTCTTTCCTACTCTGTCTCTGCCTCTGTCTTTGTCTCTTTTTCTCTCTCTATCTCTCTTCTCTCTCTGTCTCTTTCGTTCATCTCTCTTCTCTCTATCTATCTTGTTCATCTTTATTCTTGAGCTCTTTCGCATCTCTGTCTCATCTCTCTTCTCCTCATCTCTCTTCTCTCTGTGTCTCTCTCGTTCATCTCTTTTCTCTCTATCTCTCTCTCTCTGTCTCTCTCGCTCATATCTCTTCTCTCTATCTCTCTCTGTCTCTCTCGTTTATCTCTCTATTTCTCTCATTCATCTCTCATCTCTCTCTGTCTCTTTTTCTGTCTCTTTCTCTCTTTGTCTATCTCTCTCTCTCTCTTCTCTCTCAATCTCTTTTTTTGTCTCTCACTCTCTATCTCTTTTTCTCTTTGTCTCTCTCTTTCTCTCTCTCTATCTCTCTTCTCTCTCTGTCTCTTTCGTTCATCTCTCTTCTCTTTAACTATCTTGTTCATCTTTATTCTTGAGCTCTCTCGCATCTCTGTCTCATCTCTCTTCTCTCTTTGTCTCTCTCGTTCATCTCTTTTCTCTCTCTCTCTCTGTCTCTCTCGCTCATATCTCTTCTCTCTATCTCTCTCTCTTTGTCTCTCTCGTGCATCTCTCTGTTTCTCTCATTCATCTCTCATCTCTCTCTGTCTCTTTTTCTGTCTCTTTCTCTCTTTGTCTATTTCTCTCTCTTTCTCTCCTCTCTCTATCTCTTTTTTTGTCTCTCACTCTCTATCTCTTTTTCTCTTTGTCTCTCTCTTTTTCTCTCTCTCTTCTTTTTCTCTCTCTCACTCATCATTCTTCTCTGTCTGTCTGTCTTTGTCTCTGTCTCTTTTTCTCTTTGTCTCTCGCTCATCTCTCTTCTCTTTATCTCTCTCATCTTTTTTCTTTCTCTATCTCTCTCACTCGTCTCTCTTCTCTCTCTCTCTCTCATTTCTTTTCTCTCTCTCTCTCTCTCTTATCTTTCTATCTCTCTCGCTCATTTCTCTTCTCTCTCTGTCTCTCTATCAATGTGAATGTTAACATGTTAATGTGAATATTCACATTGTCCCTTCTCTCTTTATTTCTCTCTGTGTGTCTGTCTGTCTCTCTCTCACTCATCACCCTTCTCTCTTTATTTCTCTCTGTGTGTCTGTCTGTCTCTCTCTCACTCATCACCCTTCTCTCTTTATTTCTCTCTGTGTGTCTGTCTGTCTCTCTCTCACTCATCACCCTTCTCTCTTTATTTCTCTCTGTGTGTCTGTCTGTCTCTCTCTCACTCATCACCCTTCTCTCTTTATTTCTCTCTGTGTGTCTGTCTGTCTCTCTCTCACTCATCACCCTTCTCTCTTTATTTCTCTCTGTGTGTCTGTTTGTCTCTCTCTCACTCATCACCCTTCTCTCTTTATTTCTCTCTGTGTGTCTGTCTGTCTCTCTCCCCCATTGTGTTCATCTTGCCCATTCTCTCCCTCTCATCTTTTCTATTTACCGAGCTCTCCACTACAAGAAAATGCACTTTTAGCGACCATTTTGTCTCTCTCTCTCTCATCACCTTATCTCTCTTCTCTATCTGTCTCTCTCTCTTTATCTCTCTTCTCTGTCGGTCTCTCACTCATCTCTCTTTCACCACCCATCTCCTCTACCACATTCACTACTACTGCAAATGTCATTCCACTACCAGCATTATTACCATTGTTGCCACTGTACCTCCACGACTACCATTCCTACCACCATCGTTACCACTCCACTACCACTACCACCACTACTACTACGATTATCTCTCATCTACCATCGCCACTGAATATTTTGTTTTTTGGGTTTTTTTTAAGTGAATATTTTAAAAATTGTAAGTATTTTTTTTTTACTTTTTTAGATCTATCTTACTTAAATGTAGCTAAAAAGTAAAATATTGTAAAAAATATTTTTAAAAATTAATAAATACAATTTAGTCGCTAAAAAATTAATAAATACAATTTAGTGAATATTTTAAAAATTAATAACCAATTTAGTCGCTAAATTGGTCTAAAACTTTGCGGGGGAAATTACTTTTAATATTCGCGCCCTCTTCCATTCTCGTTTTGAACAAACACAAAAGTCCTTTCTCTCACACATCACCACCAAACCTCACCCCACCTCATCTCAGCACAGTCCCTCACCACAGTCGCTCACCGTACGTCGCACATCGCCACCGCCATAGCCGCAAATCACCACCGCCACCGCCGCAGATCACAGGTTCTCTCTCCTTCTCTGTCTCGCGCTATCAGTCTGTTAGTCCTTCACAAGCAAGCAGGTTCTCTCTCCCTCTGTGTGTGTGTGTGTGTGTGTGTGTGTGTGTGTGTGTGTGTGTGTGTGTTTCGAAATTACATACACACATATACACAACTTCTATTAGCAGATCTAAGATCCACAATTTACAGATCCCGAATGTCTCTGTTTCGTTCGCTGATCTGAAGGTTACTTCATTGATTCAATTGTTCTGTTGAATTTTTTTGTTTAATTGATTCGATTTTTTATTTGCATCGCTCTCATTTGTTTAATTTCTTCGTAATTTGAATAATTTTTTGTATCCGATGTGTTTATTCAATGTGAACATTCGGAAGAAAACGTTTCCAGATATGGGTTCGATTCGTAATTTATTACTGTATGTGTTCCATGTTTTGAATTTCGATTCTTGTTCGAGATTTGTATTTCGGTGCAGATCGATACATTTTTCCCAATTGACTCCCTGAGCAATAATGACTACAGGTTTCTTAGTTTTGTAGAATTTTATTGCTTGTAATAACTTCTCCATGTCGGGTTCTTAATTTTTACAAATCAACACTCGTTTGAAATTAATTTGCACAAACACCATGTTAGTTTTTCTCATCTATACTGCTTTTCATCTGCTCTTGTTTCATTCTCCTCTACTCGGCTTAACTTGTTTCATATCATTCTCTTTTTACCTTCAACTATGTGTGACTAAATATATGCTCTCATGTGCACAAAAACTTGTGGAAAGGTTACCTACTTTTGCTGCTAAAAAGTGTATAATTGATGTGTGAAGCCATAATGAACATTGAATTTAAATTATGCTTTGAACATAACCTCACGCCTCTATCATCAGTCGTGCATGAAGTGTTTATGTTCATAGTGCAATGAACCATTTGGTTTGGACGAGAATCAACGTGTAACCTTTCCTCTAGTGATTTGACTGGGGAAATAGCTCATGCTCTGTTTGGTCTCAAATCATTGAAGTATTTGTAAGTATTTTCTTCTTCACCAATGCAACTCTAACTATCTAAGCATTTTAAAATTACATGTTCCAGTTTTGGCAACAACAGGAGGAAAACTTATGGCACTCTCATGATACTGGTAACCAGCAGTATAGCTTGTTTGTTTGCAGGGATTTATCATACAAGAGCTCAAACAAGTCGTTCTTGGAAACAAATGCTAATGGGGGCGATGAGGCCGGAACAGAGGAAGAGCAAGCAGCATTCATGAAGGAGCTGGAAACTTTCCACAAAGAGAGGTGCTTGGAATTCAAACCCCCAAGATTTTATGGAGAGCCATTAAATTGCCTCAAGTGAGTTATGAGTGACCCTAATTGTCAAATTTGCTTGCTTTAATTTTTTGGGTGCTTCCTGATTTGCACTAATGTTTCTTGTATATGTGAGTTAGGTTATGGAGAGCAGTCATCAGACTTGGTGGCTATGAACAGGTTTCCCAGAAATTTTAGTTTGACAAACTTATTTCCATTTTATCATGTGCATTATCTTTTACTATGGTCTGGTCTATCCCTTGTAGTTTATCTACTAGTTACATACATTAACCCTGATGCTGAATGGAATCTTAGAATATTATAACTACTGGCTCCATTTCATAAATTTATTGGGAAAAATTCCAAGTACTTGGATTTGTGCAGTTATTTTTGATGGGGGGAATAAACTATTATTTTATTGACACATTTTGCCTATAGTATCAAGTTTGATGAAGTCAATAATATTAACAACTTTCATTTTATCATTTGCATTATCTTTTACCATGGCGTGGAATGAGAGTAGTTTTTGTTTTATTACATCAATTGATTGGTCCATGGACATGAGCAGTATAATTTTGTCATCTAAGCTTCTCCACTATCAAAAATTTATTTGTAAATGATATGGAGCATGATTTGTTGTCATCTGGCCTGCTTTGGTATCGCACACTTGTTGAGATATTTCTCTCAATATCAAATCTGTGACAATCTAAATTGAACTGATGGTAAAAACAATAGTAACCAATGTTTTATTGGTCAATACTTCAAGTAAGGATATTGTGGTGCATGGTAAACTAGGAAATCTGCTAATATGCAGTAGCGAGATGGTGCATTTAACACTAAAATTTGCTTCATCAATTTCTGTAAGTCAATGGATAAGTGTGCTTTTGTGACCTAATTTGATGGCAAAATCTTTTTAGGTTGACATTTTTATAGGACCTGCAGATGTGCATGTGATAGTATATTTTTAATAGAAAAAAATTGTATGATAGAACAAATCCACATATACATGGCATAAATATGATTGTCCAACCAACTTTCTTTTTGTTCTGTGCTCAGGGTCAAATATTTTGGATTCTATTGTTAATTCAATAGTAACTTTGCTTTTTATTATTAATTTTTAATACACTCTTCCCCACTGCATGCACACACAACATATAAAAAAGGACAAAAGTCAGCAATCCTAATTGTTGAGAAGGAACTAAAAGGACAGAGTAACATATTAGGGCTTGTTTTTTGTTGGTAAATATGCAATATATTGTTTGAGAAGGAACTAAAAGGACAGAGTAACGTAAAATGACAGAGTAACGAATCATCACAGTTAATTAGGTGGTAGTAAACATATATTGTTGACAAGAAACACATTGAAAACATAATGAGAAACATGATCTTGAAAACTATATATGTTTCTCATTATGTTTTCAATGTGTTTCTGAATTTGAAGGCAATCACCTAATTAACTGTGATGATTCAAATTTGTTCATTTCAGCTTTAGCTTTCTTTTTATTCCCACTTATTTTTTCCTACTTTTCTTAGGTGTTATATCTTTGTTGGAGGTTATAATAGTAAAGTGATGATATTGTTTTAAGTTGTGTGTAATGTTGGTTATCTCACCAAACAAATCAATGTTCAGTGTCCATAGCATTAAGGGAACAATATGGTGAAGGGTCATGTTGTGCATTTATTTTATATATAGGATCTGAATTGCCTCTAGTTTAGATTTGAATTGGAGGATATTAATTGTGGTATAGTCATCATCAAATGTTTGTAATGTAATTATATAAATTTTTTGCCATATGGTTAATTTTTTTTTATGAGAATACTTCATTTTGGATATGTTTCTAGATTCTAACTTTTCTTATTTTATTTGTAGGTGACTTCCAAAAACGATCAAGCACAAGGCTGATGCTTCAAAACCATATATATTCCTTCCTGTTGTAGAATTTTTTTGGGATTCCTTCATTGATTTTCCTTTTAATTTTTGTTCAATTACTTACTGGTTTCAATGGATGGATGTTTAAAACTTGTCTCAATTAATGTTTTGAATGGAATGATTGTAAAGTTTGGGATTGAGCAGGAAAATATGATGAATTTTAATGTTATATTTAGGTTGGGTTGAATGAATTTTGTTCAATATTGGATTGAATGTTTATAAACAAAAATTGATTGTTCAAAAAAAAAAAATTGGATTGAATGTTGGATTGTGTCGAATGCTAATGAATTATGTATTGTGTCGAATGTTAATGATTCAGTTGATTTGTATGATGCTTTAAAATTATAGGTTTATTTTGGATTGAATGAATTATTAGGAATTACAGATGTATTGTTTTCTTGCTTTTGGCGACCAATTTATTAGTCGCGACAAATAAATAATTTTTTTTCGTAAAAAATGACAATTGCCGACCAAGAGTTTTGGTCGCAAAAAATACATCTATTGCCGACCAAAACAACACTTGGTCGTGGAATCTCACTTTTGCCGACCAAAAGTTTTGGTCGCGAAAAGTAACAAATAGCGACCAAATTTTTTGGTCGTAGAAACTATTATTTAGCGACGAAGAAGTTTTGGTCGTGGAATGTAATTTTTGCCGACCAATTTTGTTGGTCGTTGAAAGTAATTTTTGCCGACCAATTTTGTTGGTCGTTAAAAGTAATTTTTGCCGACCAATTTTGTTGGTCGTTAAAAGTAATTTTTGCCGACCAATTTTGTTGGTCGTTAAAAGTAATTTTTGCCGACCAATTTTGTTGGTCGTTAAAAGTAATTTTTGCCGACCAATTTTGTTGGTCGTTAAAAGTAATTTTTGCCGACCAATTTTGTTGGTCGTTGAAAGTAATTTTTGCCGACCAAATTAGCGACTAACATGTATGGTCGTTGAATGTAATTTTTGCCGACCAAAGTCTTTTCGCGACTAAATAGGTTAGTTGCGATAATTATATGTTTAGCGACCAACAATTTAGTCGCCAAATAGAACGTTTTGCCGACTAAAAATCTTTTTAGTCGCTAATTACTTTTCGCGACCCTCAATTGCCGACCAAATTGGCGACCAAAAAAATTGGTCGGGAATATGTTTTGCCGACCAAAAATGGACTTTTAGCGACCAATTTTTTGGTCGGCAAATGTGTTAATTCTTGTAGTGCGATAATTATATGTTTAGCGACCAACAATTTAGTCGCCAAATAGAACGTTTTGCCGATTAAAAATCTTTTTAGTCACTAATTACTTTCCGCGACCCTCAATTGGCGACCAAATTGGCGACTAAAAAAATTGGTCGGGAATATGTTTTGCTGACCAAAAATGGACTTTTAGCGACCAATTTTTTGGTCGGCAAATGTGTTAATTCTTGTAGTGGCCACTATCCTCCGACCTCCGACAATATTTTTTTTATCCATTTTTCATCTCAAGTACATCACTACTACCACCACCTCCTCCTCCTCAGATCTAGTGGCAACAAAAGAAAATGAAAAGAAAAATAATGAAGAGAATGAAGGAGAGAGACAAGAAGCCATTACCAGAAAATAGTTCTTATTATTTTTCACATTGACAGATCAAGACAAAGCATCAAAAATCAGATTCGGTGATAAATTTATCACTGTTTGTTTGTAAAAAAATTACAGAAAGAAAATGATGCAATCACCATTACGAACCAACACAAGAATCAGAGATACATTCAGTGACAAATTTATCACTGACTGTTTGCAACAACAACAAAAAAATACAGAAGGAAAATTTAATCATCACCATTACAAATGATAAATTTATGGAGAAAAATGGTGACAATAACGATGTCAAATTCAATGATAAATTTATCACTGACTGTTTGTAAAAAAAAAAAATTACAAAAGGAAAATTACCATTACAAATGATAAATTTATCACTGTTTAGTTTATCAAGTTTTATACAAAAACAAACATATTTAACAAATTTACTGATAAATTTATCACTGGTTTAAACAAGATAGGAGCTTTGATCGGCATTGAAAATTCCTAGATGAACCCATCACCATTTTGATCTAACATCATAAACGCCTCTCTCATGTCTTCTTTTTCGTCTCACTCGTCCATTATTAACTGGTACAGTGCTCAAAAGTCGTCAATGTCAACACACCCATCTCCGTTCATGTCGATTTTCTTGTTCTCTCTCAGATCTAACACCATCTCTCTCAAATCTAAGGGCCATAAAGGCAGCTCTCATGTTCACCAACACCAACAAACAACCGTTCGATTGCCGAGCCTTCGTCACAAACTTCCTTACTGCCATCGACACCGTGACCCCTTCATCTCCGCCCAACATTACAGTGGTGCAATCAATGGCTCTTGCAACACAACAGTGCATTAAATACTTTTCAAAACCCAGATCCTTCGGGGAGAGAGAGAGAGAGAGAGAATTAAATATAGCCACATAATTCATGGCAGAGGAGTGAAATTAGGATTAAAAAAAAAACAACAACAGGACTTCCTGGTGCATGAGATAGAAACTTAGGACATAATGGGTAATAGATTTAATTATTGAAACCAGCTGGTAAAAACAACCCAAACAAAAAACTACTAGGTCAAACAAATAATAATAATAATAATAATAAGAAGAAGAAGAAGAAAGAAGAAATTTTTTTCAGATTTTCAAAAAATTCTCACAATGTGATCTATAATGATATAATGTAATAAGTGTCATGTTTTTATTTGTTACACATCCAATAATATATGGCCCAACTCCCTTATCACATCATTGTGGGTGAATTTATAGGTCTAAAATTGTGAGTCTCTAGCATTTCTCTACTAATAATTTCAAATATTAGCGACATAAAAAATTTCATCACAAAAATAATTTCTTTTTTTTTATTATTTGCATAATTAAACTTTTGTCGCAAATTTGGGTTTTTATTTATGGAGAATTTTTTTACAATTCCTATAACATGAAATCATAGCCAAAAAGTCACTATTAAATAGGACTGAGCAAAGAATCCGTGAAATTCGTAATTCGATCAAGTCCAGTCCAATCTAATAGGTTTGGATTGAATTTTTACATCCATGGTTCGGTTCCGGATTGAAGAATTAAAAATCCGTAGTCCACGGATTGGTTCCGGATTGAACCCCACGGTTCCGGATTGGAACCGATCCGGACCGTATGCAAATAGTCTATATTTTTATTATACATCCTCCCTCATAGTATCTTCTCTTATTCTATATAAAAACCTAAACTCAAACATAAACCCGTATAATGTCTTCTTTTATTACTTTTGTTCGTTAGTTTTTAGTTTTAATTTATAATGGTCTAAATTTTTATGGTAAAACCAATTTTCTTATGGCTGTTTAAATTTTAGAACAGTATGCTGCTATTATAGAAAAACATGTTGCTATTATGAAACTAATATAGCACTATGTTTATGTTTTTATGAAATTAAAGTGTTATATGTATATTTTTTTGTTATTTAATTATGTGAATCCGTGGTCCTAAACCGATCCAATCCATTTTTAAATGGATTGGTTCGGATTGGTTCCATGATTTAAACGGATTGGATTGGTTCCAATTTTTCAGGAATCATAGATAACGGATTGGTCTTGGTTTTACCCTAATCAGGTCCAATCTGGACCATGCTCACTCCTACTATTAAAAAGTCAATTATTTTATCTACTTTTTTGTATGTCTTTTTGTAAAAAGTCAAAAAACTAACTAAAATAATAAATTCCCAAAACAACTCACAAAAGATTTCTTTAACTCATTCATGACTACCCTTATCTTCTTTTTTTATCAGAGAAAAAAGTGAAATATTTTGATGCAGAAAACGGGTTACAATTAAGCACTTTACAATACACATATCTTCTTAAAACATGTGATTCACTTCTAACAGCTTAAAATAAAGTGCCAAGAGGTTACTTTTTTATTTCAAAACATGAAAATTTCATAAGTTATTACATTCTATAGATCTGTTTTTCATAAAAGTGAATTTTTATAACCTATTCAAGAAGATCTATAAAACAATATATATTGATCAATATAAAATTTTGAAGAAAAAACTACCAAAATTCACAAGTTTTAAAAATTTTATGCAAAATCTATATGATTTGTAGTTTCTCAAACACAAAAACAGTGAAATTTCATAGTTGGTCAAACAAAGAAATTGTAAAATTTCACACCATAGAAACTATGAAATTTTCATCAGAAACTAAGAAATTTCTGCAAAAATAGTTGTATAGAGCAAAAACTTTTCACATTTTAAAGTTCAAATGAACTTACAAAAAAAAAAACTAACTTGATAGTTTAGCAATTAACGTGAGTGACGTTGCTGAGCGCCTAATTAAGGCACTCCTCACATAAGGAGCAAATTTGTTTGAATCATCCCTAAAATTTGGAAAAACATTACATCAGCTACCAAAGAAGAAAAAAATGACGTGAGACAAGATCTCTTGGATTAATTAAAACGTTATGCGGCCTAATATACTATAAACACCATTCGTGGGGTTTGCCACACAAACGAACAAAAATAAATAAAGAACAAGTTGGTGATGGTATCGAACCAATTTGGCACCCCATTATTCATTCCCCCATTTGTAGTAGACGTACGACAACGGTAGTAAGTGGGGCATACATCTTCGCAAAAAGCCCTTCTTCTGGTAGTGACATAAAATAGATGAGCTTATAGTTACGATATTATGCTTCGTTAGAGTGAAATTGTTACTGAAATTTTTTGATTTGATTGAAATATTCAGCATGCATGTTAAAGCCTTTGAGTTTCTAGTTATGATACTATCTTTCTCAATCCTTGCACAAAGTGAAATTCGTACTGGCAAATATTATAATATTCGAGCCCCTCAATGTATTTGTATATTTCAAGTTATAAAATTTTGTCTTTTGCTTTAAAAAAAAATGCCTCACGGAGTAAAAAATTGATACTAGCAAATTTTGATTTGTTTGAAAATTTTACTATCAAGCATATTCAACTCTTTGTTACACGC